CATACTGTCCTACCCTTTGGGTGCCTACCACTTGCCACATGACTGCTGAATATGTGTTGATGTTATTTATTTGTTTTCAGGGTTGACATTGCCCCGGCCTTGGTCAAGCTTCCCTTGCTGCTCTCAGAAACAGTGCCTGGCAAACGCAGAGTCCGACACTCCAACACTATCCGGCATCACATCACAGTCCGTGTGAAAATGGGGTATACCCCCAAAAAAAAATGGCAACTTTAATAGGGGAACGTGATGGAAAACCAGCGAATTTGGTGCAATCCAACTGGCGTCATTTGACCTATTTAAAGCTGGGTGTCACTATAAAAATTGGCTATCCCCCAGTTTTTGCAGAGATCCAGTGACACCAAGGGGCTCTCAAAACCCTTGGGCACACCAGCCCCTCCCTGAAGCTGCACCAAAAACTCCAGTGACCTGCAAGTTTTGTCGGAACGAAAAGATCAAAGGATGTCCAGTATATAAAGAATGTTAACATATATATATATATATACATATATCATTGTATAATATAGCATCGCATAGCATCGCATAATATAACATGACATTAACTTATACTATTATAATATACTATATTATATTATTATATATTGTATAATATTATATTAAATATTATTTTTAATATTATAATAAATATTATATTAAATATTATATTAAATATTATATTAAATATTATATTAAATATTATATTAAATATTATATTAAATATTAAATTAAATATTATATTAAATATTATATGATATTAAATTATATTATATCATATTATATTATATTATATTGTATTGTATCAATTTGTACTGTATTATTATGTTATGTTGCATTATACTGTATTGTACTATAATATGTTATATCAAATCATACCATATTATTTTACATTATAGTACATATGTAGCATTGTTACATAAATATGACGGATGTAAATGGATAAAATCCGTATACATATATATATATACACACATCGTATATATATATATACATATGAATATACATATACATGTATATATATATATATATACATATATGAATATCTACATCTGTATAAATGAGTGTGAATACAAAAATATGTTAGTTTCATGTATGTATATACATATATATATATACATATATATATAATATCATATATATATACATATATATATATTTATATATGTTAGTCTCATATACATACACATAAATATGTCAATATGTATATCTGAAATTGTATATATGAATATGTATTTGTATATAATGCATCATTATATACTATATACATATATAATATATGTATCTGTACATATTTGTATGGGATCAGTCATTGAGTCTTTGGGGAACCTGTTTGGAAACGGCTGTGTCAATCATGCTCAGCTTTCCATCCACTTTTGATACAGCTTCCGTAGATTTCACTCTTCCGCCAAGTCGCTCTGTGGGAGTCTGGGGAGTAAATGGCGCTGTGCTCCCATGACAGGATCCCATCGCTTCGCAGGCAAGGAAGCTTCAAACGGATTGGCAGTACGAGCTAGACAGCTGCGACCAAGCAGTTTAGGACAACAGAAAAACCATGGCAGTTGCCATCAAGCAGTCTTGTATACTTGAGAGGGGGGGACGAAAGGTAGGTGGGGGCATATCTCTCAACAACTTTTTGCGCTCATCCTGTTTCAATATCGAACTTTCCCTTCCCCCTAGGTGCCTCTCAATTTCCTGCATCCATTTCGCTTCATACGTAGACTTCCCCCATTGGCCTCTCCACCACTTCTTACGTTTTTGTTGTTGCAATATCCGAAATTCCCCGGCATCAACAACTTCTAGCATGCATCTTGTCTCAATATCTAAATTCCACACACCCTGTGCCATAGTCAGTAATAAGAACCACAAGCAAGATAATGTAAGTCAGTTTGCTGGCCAGCTATGTGAATTAGAGGGGCCAAGGTGCCTCAACCGATGGACGCTCGGTTGAGGCACTTGGCGTGTAGGGATAGGTCTTTAGGGATGTAACATTCATGCGGCTAAGTGCGTGAGGATGTCTGAAGCAAAAGCAACATCAAGAATTGCAGGAGACGAAACCGTCTTTGTTTCGTGGGAACTATTAAAAGGCTTGTGGCTCAGGGATAAGTGTCGCTGCGAAGGGACATACTGCTATTGTTTTCTTATCTAACATGAGCATTGTCCATGACCTGTGAAGAACATCGAGCGGTCTCGTAAAGTATTCCAGTTGGAGCACGGAGCTCAGCTGCGTGTCTGTGATATGCGTAGAGCACCGAATTGCTTCTTATTGAGCAGAAAAAAATTGCCATGGCAACAGTATCACAGTAGGCAGGTGCAAACAGCCATTGCAATGGACTTTCTTCTGTCATGAGTCTAGAACGCAACGTACATGGATTGGAATCGCATGTGTGCTGGGTGAAACAGGATGTGCGTGCGCTGAGGGGTATCAGAAGAGGTTGAAGTAAATAGGAAAACTTTTGCACACGCAAGTCATCCTTCCTTCCTTCCTTCCTTCCTTCCTTCCTTCCTTCCTTCCTTCCTGCCTGCCTGCCTGCCTGCCTGCCTGCCTTCCTTCCTTCCTTCCTTCCTTCCTTCCTTTTTTCCAGGACATGACAATACAGTAACCCATATCTAGGAGATTGTAACGCGCAGCTTATTCCCTGCCAGTGTGGGCACCAACCGATCCGGATAGTAAGCGCTAGTCAAAGTGACAGAACGTCGCTGCAGAAGATCGCGCGCGTCAACTCAGTCAGGGCACGCACAACCTGAACCCATGCAGACCTTCAGAGCACTCTGGGCACGCTTGAACTGGGGCTCGCAGGGGCTGATGCTTGCGCATTGAGATGGGGTCGGCGCTCCTGGGTGAAGCCCTCAACAGTGGCCAAGCAATAGGCTATCTGAGAGTTCGAGGCGATTTTCTGCTTGTGCGCTGCACATCTAGAACATACTGTGCTTCAACTTGGAGCCGCAATGACCCGTATCCGGAAACTTATCACTTGAGGCTAGCAGCGGAGCCAACAAATGCGTGGCTGAATCCGGACCAGGGAGGAATCGAAGGGTGGGTATGTGGAGATTCCTTACTTCCAGCCGTCAATTTCCAGGAAAGGACCAACCACCTCCCCCAGTACTAAAATAGTACTAAAGTACATAGAACTCAGGTAGCCTAGGCTACCTTTCGTGACATGTTTAACATTTATAATTTATAATCATAGTTATGGATATGATGTGTGACCCTGGTAGATTGTCAACTGGCATGGGAAAATGCTGATAAACTGATAAACTGATAAACGGCAATCGTTTATGGTCAGGTCTGTGTACAGTTTCAGTCAAACATGATTCAGTCAGAGTTTCATCGCTTGGCACGTGTCGTGTGTCCAGCAACACCAAAATAAACGACAGAACGAGCTGAATCCAGAGTTTTCAGGAGCCTAAAAAGTACATAAGCATCATATAGAAATCTGACGAAATATATAGAAATCCAGCAAAAATCTCAAGCCCAAGGGACCTGGAAGGTTTTAGTAAATTTGAAGATGTTTTTTCGATATTTTTCTTCACTTCTGCTCCAGAAGTCTTGTTGCAGCCGGGACCTTGTGTCCCATTTCCTGTCCTTGGCAGTTCTTTACAGCTACCTTTGCAGCCAAGTCTCCAAAAAAGTCCTGACTGTACATGTCTATCTTCCCCAGCTGTACAAGTCTCGGGGTTCAGGAACTAGCGGTTTTTGAGCTCATAGGGCCATCACTTCCCACCTTGACCATCCTTGACCCCTCATGCGACACTACGCCACACTGAAAAAACGGTGAACAGCCCATGAGCTGGACTACCTGATCTGCGAAACCTCTTAGGATTTGGGACAGGAAATAGGAATGGATCATTTCACCCTGGTATCCCCTTGCTTTGACATCTTCAAAATGAACAAGAGTACTTGTTTGTGTCTAGTTTGTTAGTATGTATCACTGTATCACCATCGATTTTTACAGTTGCACTCACAAATTCACACTTTAAAATACTTTAGAAACATATTCCCAAAACATCATCAGCTATTCAGCTACTATTTCTGGTTGCCATGTTTTTCCATTTTTTTGTGGATCATATTGACCCGTCCCCATTCGAACATTTCGAACGATACCGGCCCACGATCCCGTGGATCCCGTGGGATTGATCTCAGAAGACGTCGTCCAGCAACTCGGCAGCCAGGAAGCCTCCGGCCAGACCCGCCAAGCCTGCGCCGGCCACCGCCATGCCGCCGCCCATGCCGCCGCCCATGCCGCCTGATAGGAATGCAACTCACAGAAAATTGCAATCAGGAATATCACGAAATATCACAGTTCAACAGGAATGCACCTCTGATTTCTCTTTATAAAAGGTTGAATCTTTACATCCTACCTGTTAGTCACTGTTAGTCACTGTTAGTCACTGTTAGTCACTGTTAGTCACTGTTGGTCACTGTTAGTCAGTTGTCAAAATCCTACGCTCCACTCCCTCAACAAGTCCCAACCAGTCCAAAGAGCCACCAGTAGGTTGGCCATAGGGTTGGCTGTAGGCTGGTTGGCCATAGGCTGGCTGATAACCATAAGCCGGCTGTTGATAGCCGTGGGCTGGTTGATTGTAGCCAACGACTGGTTGCGCATAAGCAGTCGGCTGAGCATTGCCGCAAGTCACAGGTTTACCTTGCACAACTCCTGGGCACGGTGGATTTCTTTGAATATTTGGATATCGCTGATCTTTAGATGTCAGCTCCAGTCCCAGTCCCCCATTTTGCCTCAAGAAAATGCACCAGATATGTCCCTGTCCTCCTGGCACGTAGCCTGCATTTGCCTGTCCATATCCATAAGATCCACCATATGAACCATAGGAGGCTCCATAGGAGGCACCCTGGCCATGGCTGTAAGGGACATATGGAGGTCGGGAACTTTCGCAGCAGCCCATCTTGGCGAATTTCTGGTTGGAAATGGGTCTCTTCGTGAGAGCCAGTGAGAACCTTACAGCTGCAGTTCTACAACCACAGCGTTTGCGACACATTTTGAATGTTCCTCCAAGTCACCATCACCATTTGGCACAAGAGCTCAAACCAAGAACGAATCTCTGTAATATTTGTAAAATGAAAAGGATGCATGAAAAGTCAAGCCAGTGTGAGCATAGAATTCCTGCAAGAATGTATTGCAGAAGGGTTTCAGAAGCGAAAGGGTCACCCAGGGATGCACAGGGTCTCCTACTGACTCAACGTGAGCGCTCATAGCTCTCATCATCTAAGCAGCTGCAATTGACAATATTGACAAAGCTCAAGCAGTTCACCCTTTTCAGAGACAAAGCTCTCACGTTCTGCGTCGCTAACCAGGAAGGTCTAAGCAAAAGCTGCAGAAACTTTACAAGTGTTACAAATGCTGGTGCAACCGGTGCAACACCAGCTACAAAACTACAAAAATTGCAAACTAAACTCTCCTCAAGAACCCTTACCGTTAATGAGGATGATGCAAGTGCGTTGAATTTTTGCCCCATGTGGGGCATCTGCGTGCCGTCACGCGCTGTCGTGCGCCGTCGATTTTGGCCGGTCACGAGGTTACTGTCGGGTCACTCGGCATGGTGTTGCGGCTACCCGACTGTTCACCTTCAGCTGCCTTCGGCTGCCTTCAGCCGGAAAAGGTCAAGCTGTTGTAGCCAAAGCCAAAACCCAGGTATGGTTGATACAGCACCGGGCCAGGGCCACCAACTCCTGACACTAAAATCAGCGATGGATGTGGGATGTTGGATCAATGCTGTATCTAGTTGAAGTACATGAAATCACGAAAGCGATTTTCGTCTAGCTGTCCAGCAAAACCAACAAACAAAACCGCAGAAAACTAACACCAACTGTGAAACCAGCCTTCGAACATGCTGCGAAATGGGGGATCTTCAGCCATCATACTCTTTGACGTCTTAGATTCCAGCTCGACTAAGTCTGCCTTTCGCTGCTGTTTGTGCTTGATGTGGTGCATCTTGTGCTGCTGAACCCCGGAAGTCTTGGGCCTGGGCCCCTTGGGCCCCTTGGGTCCCTTGGGCCCCATCAGCCCCATGGGCCCCATGGGCCCCATAGGGGCCATGGTTATATGCCCCTTGGACCCCTTGAGCTCAGGTTCATCGGGTTCATGCACATTGGAGTTGGCACAGCCTGCGGCGCAGCCCATCTCTACGGCCGACTCAGAAATCCGTAAAAAACAGTTCTGAACCGCGACAGCTGCAAAGAAAATTTCGCCCCAATTTCTGCAACAAAAACGAAGGAACCACTACCGACCCTCTGACCTGCATAGACTGGGACTACCCAAGGTGTTTTGGACCAACTCCTTGTCTTGCAAATTCAGGCTGCAAAATGCTCACCGAGGTTGCTCAGTCCGACACAATTAAGCCAGCAACCCAACAGCAGGTTCCAGGGTTCCAGGGGGTTTTGGCCCAAACGACGCACCACTCTCAGACCCAACACTCACTGCTGCTGGGAATAAGAAACTGCACTGTCCAACTGGTCTTAAGGAGTCTCATCTGGAAGGCGGTGAAATTGATCAGATTTGATCAGGGTTCAAGCGTATTCAACGAACATGTTGCAGGAAATCAAGATCCGCACGTGAAGCCATGCTGAAACAACAAACTACTGGGTCACGTGTGAACCAAGTTTGTACCTATATACAGGATGCAAAACATGCAAAACATGAAATAAACAACAGCTATGGGTGCCAAGAAATCTGATGTTTTAATCTGGGGCCCTTTTCCGATCCCCCATCCTCCCGGGGAGTCCCAACAAGGAGAGTTTCGAGGTGCCAAAGCGCCGGGCACGGTCCTGGCAATGGGAATCGGAGGGTCAAAATTATACATAAAATGGATGCAAAAATACGGAAAATCACATAACATCACCAACATGACCAACCACTTGTGGGTCCATTGGTAACCCTTTGTAGCCCAGCCATATCGCTGGGAAGCCACACCAAGGCGCCCAAGCTTTCCTCAACTTCCACCTGGCCACTGGCCACTGACTCACTGGCACGAGACCACTTTGGTGATTCTACGAAAGGTGCCCACAAGATCACATCAACAATTTGTCAATAAAGATCAGATAAAAATCAGATAACAATCAGTTGAAATGTTCAAATTCGCCTTGACCATGTGTGGTTTCTGGGGACACCGAGAAATGTGCCACATGACCGGCCTCGCCCCGACGAGCAGGGACCTTGACTTCACAAAGTGGAGATGTTCGTTGATTCGATCAAGGAGACCGAACACCAACGGCAATATATAAATCTGAATAAATTACAATTTCAATGCCGCAAATGCCTGACAAACCTGCAATGACAAACCCATTCTGGACCAGTTTAAGATGGTCTCGTTTACAAACCATCATTTGTGATGAGGTGATGAGGTTGTGCGGTCGTTACGTTGTTGGGAACGGGACATTATGAAATTGCCCAGATTTATAGGCGCTGGCGGGTGCAGTGACATTTGTGTGACTTGCCTTGCCAAGGTTTGCCAAAAAAAAAATGATGAGACAAAAACGAAAGATACCAAAGGTGTTTTCTGAATCACAACCTCTGTCCTTGGTGACATTTACTGTATGGACCTGATGTGCACAAGCAGTTGTCACTTCAAATGGAAATCGTTGTGGCCCCAGCTCGGCCACGAGCAAACATGCTGCAAGGGGGTCGCCCTGCGCGGCGAATATGAAAGTAACACAGGTGCATCCTGATGCAACGGAAAGCACCAGCACCTTTACATCATCACAAATCAATGCAGCTTACAAAGGGCCCAACATTTTCGAAAATTTATGGAAATCATTTTTGCCAATACCAATTTCAATGATGATTTTTATCTGAACAAACAAAAATTCTGTGCCTTTCAGCCGACGATCCGCACATCAGCCTGCCATGTGAAGGAACCAACATATCAAATGGATCATATTATTGCCCCAAAATAACTACTAAAATTGAAGGACAATGCCAAACATTGTCCTCACTCTATTTAAGTAGGTCACAAACGAAATGTGTGTTTTCAGCAGGTGCAACAATCAAGAGACATGTGCATATTATTTTTTTCAAGATGAATTCAAATTAATGTAGCGAAACAAACCGTTCGGCCTTCAAGCGGCTCATGCAGCTTGATATACAAAGATGTCAACGTCGTTTGTTTTTTGCTATGGGTATGTCAAAGGTTCGGAAATGCTAAAAGACTATATAACTCCAATTTGTTTTTCCTCACATCAGGCATATCAACGATCGATTTAATGGGACTTGTTACCTTCCCGCCATGGTGAAAAATGTCATTTGCAAGCCTAAACATGGAGCCAACTGCCTGCATTTGTGCATGTTGGGTACCAGTGGTTCTTCAAAAACAATTTCAAAATGATATTGGCAATCAAGTTTGCAATCAAAATAATATTGATCTGAATCTGAATTTGTCATTAAAAATATTCGAACGCAACGTTTTGAGTCGTCAAATGACGTCCTTCAGACATGGCACACGACGATATAGTATTACTTGAAAACCTGTTTGAACACAAAAACCTCAACACATCAGACCATTCAAAATTGTGGTGACTTGTGTTTTGCACAAACGAGAAAACTTAAAAATGACCCACAGTACTTGCTTCCAACGTTTTCAAGTAAATGCGTTTATGGAACCACGGCAACCAAATGTGCAAAGCAGTAGCACCTTTTCGCTATAAGCACAAGAGGCTTGTAGCACACACTTCTTCATGCGTGTCATCCTTGCGCGGCTGATGCTTTCTTAGCACCTTTTTCACATGACACTGACTTTTTCATATCTGTTTCTTTACAATTTTACATACATATGTCTTGGCCACTACGTGCCACATGAGTACGGTGCATCAAGTTTGGCACCCCGCCTTGGGTATCTATGTTTCAAACATGGTTGCCCAATTTAAATTTTATTGCGTGTCTCGATTTGTGCAGTTTAGGCCCACTCAATATGAAGTTCAACGCTTTGAATGTAGTTGTCAGACATCACCCACGCAGCCACCAAGCATACAGAAACTATCCTGAGTTAATGCACGTATGGGAGCTGGCTCTTCATGAGTGGCCCGAACATCGGTCGAAACTTTCATGTGAATGAGTTGACGCTGCTGGTTCTCCAAATTTCTCCAACATCTGCCATCTCTGACTCTTGCTAGATCTGGGTCACACAATTCAAGTTCTCGCACACAACAAAGGAATGACATTCCATCATTGAGAAGTACAGAGATCAAAGCAGAACCAATTGATCTTTCAGGACCGACAAGAAGAGAGTTGAGGTTCAAAATTCGATCGCGTAGAAAACTCAGAGACAATGCTCTACAACTACTTGCGTACCACGTGCAAGCTGTTCCAAATTGCAGAAGCTGTAGTTGAGTTGAAGCCCAAGTTCGTTGAGCCTTTGAGTTGCTTGGATCGGAGAATTCACCCTTGGCGCTGTGTTTGGTTCAACAACGCCCAAGCCCCTGCTCACCGTTACATGAAATGCTACCACATTGTATTTCACAAATACAACAATACATGCCATGAACTCGAAGACGCTTTCAATCAAGCCATTCATGAACAACTGCATGATTTCTGTGATATACTCAATCATGAAGTAAAGTAAAACCACACCAATGTCATACACAAGGAACATGCCGGTGAAATACTTCCCAATGTTTACGAACGTGTTGGCCTCGTCCCCTAAAAGCCAGATGAAGTAGAATAAAACAACCAAACGAAACACGAAGACCATTTCCATCTTGATGAACTCAACTGAGAAATCAAAGAAAGAATCACCAACCACTTGACCGTAAGCCTTTGGCAGTATGTCTGCTGCCACTGTCACAGCCAGAATCTTCTTTGCCAACTGCACATTCGAAGTACATGTCGTAACTGTTCTCAATGCTGGTTCCTCGGTTCGAGCAATGTGCCTACAAATTTCCTTGAATTCTTTTCGACTACCTTCCTGCCGTATCATTGCTTGGTACCCCAACTCTCCAATGGGGTTTGCATTCTCATCTACAAAGCCAATCATGCACATCAGGGCATCAGGGCATACATGCGATTTCTCTGCAGACCTTTGGTTCCCAAATCAGTTGTGTTTTGAGACTTTTTTCACATCCAACGTTTGGGCGTCTACAAGTTGCTGCATCCACAAATACTTGCCTGCCATGTGCTTTATCTTGCCAGATCCAGTCTTTTGAGTCAAAAACCGGGCTCCATTGTTATCCAACCGTAGACTCAAACCGGTAGTGCTAGACGTCAAAAAATTCACAGCAATACTTGATGAACAATGCATCTGAAACACTTGAACATGCTGAATACCATTCGGATTCTGTGGAACTACCTTCTGAGACCTACTAGTGAAGTAGATGGCATTGCCATTGACAAAGTGAATGGCACAGCTGGTTGATTTTCCACTCGCGAATACGTCGAAGGGGTTATTGCCTGTGGAAGATTTCTTCAATAACAATGACACACTTGGCGTTGAGGCTTAGCCACCTAGCCGTGCAAGAGCTTTCCAAGCCAGAACTGTTGGTTGCTTTAAGTAAGAGGCCAATGATTTCGCACAAAAGCTCACATCCCAACGGTCATGAGAGATGTACAGTGCTAGGCCTACCAAGGAGCGAAATGCTGACGCCTTTGCATCGTCCAACGAGTCTGACTCATCCTTCTGAAACAAGGCTGGGTGGCATGGAGTCTTTGCCAATCTCACACTACGACCATCATTGTATTTCTGAAACTTTGCAACCACAGCTTTGATGTGACGTGTCGAAGGAGTTACCAGGATTTTGCATCCTTTATGAAAGTGTATTTGCGTCTCAGGAAATCCACACTATCACCCACACTCTCTTGGCAACCTTGAAGCTCACCTTGTACTTGCCTGCGAGACTAGGAAGAAACTCATTGTCAAGCCATTGGGGATCACAACACATCCAGACATCGCCAACATGGATGAGCGTTGCTGACTGCTTGCCTTTGAGGAGTGCCGGCCATTTCATACATGTCTCTGAATGCTTTTCTTTCAAATCAGTAGTGAAAAGTTGAACCAACGTTTTGTACCATCCCTTTGACCAGGTAAACATCGAGCAATGACATAGCATTCGCCATTGTCAATGAATTTTGTCCAGCGAATCTTCTCTTGAGGTACCATCAAATATGCATCACTGACATCAAAAGAACATAGGACCCAATGCTTTGGAAACTGGCCACTTACAAGCATTGCTGGTAGAAGGCGAACAA